GACATTGGTGTCTTTGGTCGAGGGAAACATAGGAAGCTTCGGGGCACCTCTGGAGGGTGATGAGCTGGGACGTATTGAATGGTAAAGCGATTCGGGGACGATAAGCATGTTACGACACAAACAATTTTTTACACCGGCTTATAGTCCTTCGGGTCAGACGGGCTGATCTGTATCTGATCTACCTGCCATGAATGACGCATGATCATCGCCGCTGCTTCGGACATCGTGATGTTCTTCGCATAACTGGGCGGACACGAACGCAAACCGCGTATACCTCCTGCCACTGAACGCGCATAAAATACTAGCAGTACCAATGATGTTATCCTGGTGTCTTGCAGCGTTAAAGAGAAAAGCATAGGAAAACATCACATACTGCGACCATTACTCAACGTAGATACGAATGGTGAGTGTCCCCGTGCCAGTACCTGAACGGATGGAAGACAGGCACAGTCTATATAAACATCAAGTGAATAGCCTTGCGACTACTCTGGGCAACTACAGCGCCTGGACCTCAAGTTGCTAACACCGAGGTCAGATGAAAGTCTCAATGAGCGGCCTTGGCCGCATTATTCAATGCGCATTGATCAGCATCTCGAACAGCGACCTCAACGCGTCCTAATTTCAGGCATGCATACAAGACGCCACTCGCTTCGGACAGGGCTGGGTAGGGAACGTCAAACCTAAGTGTACACCGGCTGTAGGCCCCAGATGCAAGGAAATAACGGCGACGAGTAGAATGAGCCAAGGACAACAGGTTCTGATTAAAGATTTAGCGCTCGGGACCGCAGGATCATTGTGCAAAGCGCCGACCGGCGGAGTAAACCGAGAGCGTGGAAAAGCGGTGTCATAAGGCTTCCACTGCACAACATCCATGACGGTTGTCTGCCTGTTTTCAACCTCTGGACCGTTTGCGTGATACAATGTTTGTTGATGAAAATCCCATTTTTAGCTAACTGGCCACCTGCAGACCCGCATCTTCCTTACGCGGCACAGATTTATGACTGCCGGCCATGACAATCGCGAGGTGCACCCTCCACGGTAAGTATGTCGTGCGTGTAGTGTTTTCGCATCCCGTCTACCTTCCATCGAATCATTGATGGTTGAACGGGCATCGGCAATACTGATCAGCCGCCCAGTTCAATGACTTGAGCCTGCGCCATTCGACTCTCAGATTATTTCTGTCCGGTGCAGATATAGTGCATCTCTTGAAGTCTCGAACGGCCATCCATGCACCTGGCCAACATATCACAAGGCACCCGGGTGTGAGTTCAATGGCTTCATTTACGTCTGGCTTCTTTCCATATCACAGAATGAACGCGCCCGTACCAGGTGCCGAGGCAGGATCTTTTCTGATGAAGTACTGATGATTCAAGAGATGCGTTGGCGCTTCCACGTACATACTGACACTCACGTGGTGTCAAGATCTCCTGCGAGTTCGGCGTCGAAGTTTGAACGAGATCTCCTTCAAGTTGCCGAGTTTGACAATGAGTACCAACCGATCCAAGTAAAACAATAGTATGTTTTTCGGATCAGCCTTTCCTGACTTCTATAGCTCACTACGCATAAGCCAACCTGGTGGGCGGGGAATCTTCCAGGACTCATTTGTTCCATGTTATGGCCTTTTGGCCTTTTATACTATCGTGTTCGTCGTCTCCTCGCCCAAGTCATCCTATGTTCCGCACTATTGTTAGCATGGCCCAGCCCCGAGCAGATCCAACGAATCCTTTACTTTCAAGTACGCTGTCTCCATCAAAGGAGAGGTAAACGGGGATAGGACGGATCCCGATTAATTTGATAAACATATGGAGACTAGTTCTCCGGAAAGATTTGACCAAAATACTTCAGCGCTTGTATCGTGATATCGGCAGGAAGTGGGAAGCGGAGGTTCAACGGTGATGATGATCCTTCAAAAAGACGTCTGGAAGTAGCTTGTTTTTGCTACCCTCCTGGGATCGTGCTGAGCTGCCCTTCTATGTCGTTGAATGAGCTCGTTGCTGCTAGACTACGGGACGTCAGGTCAACCCGGTGTGCTGCTTGTGAGTTAACTGTTTCACTAGGCGGAGGCGTGGTTATTCATTGCATTTTCAGTGGCCTCGGGTGTAATAGTGTTGTTTGATCATCGTAAGTAATAGCGTTGCGACTTGTTCTTGTGATCGAACTGGATGTGTTTCTCTACGTAGTGATTACACTCGATGACGAGGTAAGCATCTAACCATTTTGATTACCCACTTCATCTAATTTGACCAGGTAGAGTTGGTTTGGGTACGTGCTACCTAGACCTGAATGCTGGCGTTAATGACCGCTCATATAGAGGAGCCACTGGTCAATAGGCAAAATCTTGTTCATAATTGTATGTCTTCATGTAAGCCTGGGCCTCGAGCGATATAATGACTTTTTGTTACTTCAGAATCGCTATTACACGCTGTCATCTGTCATGTGTGTTTGCTTTCTTCCAGGATCTGACCCTCACCATGATGTCTTTTTTTTTTAAGTTTCAATTGCTACGGTTCGTGACCCACCGAACAGAGACCGCTAGGTTCTGATCCAGACGTGTGCCCCACTTGTAGGCCTTTTCATGACGTCGCTATCTGATTCGGTAAGGTTCAGCCTTAACTCCCTTTACGAGTCTCTGACCAATTTTCCCTAGTTGTAAGTCTTCGGAATTCATGCGGACCGACTGTGGGATGCGACTTTTTTTACATAGTTGTACGTTATCGGTTTCGCAACCTAGGGTTACGACTAATCCCCTTGCAGGTTACCGTTTCTTTCAGTGGCAAGGGTGGACAGGCCTAATTGCGTGTATGATAGCGGAAGGTTCGCCTGCTCTCCATTTTGTCAACACGCATCTATATCTCTGGCGACATAAGTGATATTACAAATGCGACTTTACGCATTGTATCTCCTCAACAAAAAAGTACTAGCCCTCATGGTCACGAGCTTTATTATATGTTCAGCCAGCGCAGCAGTTATTATGGGCATCGTTCTGTCTAACATTAGTATGTACTTTCTTTCATCTCTCAACCCGAATGATTGAAAACAGGCTCGCAGCAGTGTCGTACACCCCTCCAGGTACCTCTTTCTGCGCATCGAGTGGCATACCGGATTATTTCTACGCTTTCTGGATTCCCACCATCGTATTTGAATCCCTGCTGTGCGGGCTAGCGTTGTTTCGGGGATTCCAAACGTTCAACTCCGATGGACCTCTCTTTAGCAACGGACGACGTCTTGTTAGTATCCTCATCCGAGATTCAGTGTTCTATTTCGTAGTGTAAGTACGCCACCTCTTCCTTCCTTCTTCTGTCTGATTATCTTTACAGCATGTTCGCAACATACCTCACCAATCTGCTTGTCTGGGCTGCTGCACCAGTAAGAGCTCGAGATTGAGATATGATAAGGCATCATCTGACCACTGCTACCATAGGTTGACCTTCTCGAGATTCCTATAGGGTTTTCCGTCACATTTTCGTGCGTCATGTCCAACAGAATCATCCTTAACGTTCGTCGAGCGAGCCAAAATGATATGGAGTCCAAAGCTACCGCTTCTCCAGAGAAAGACTCGAATAAACCCGTGGATCTACTTGTGGACGATGGATATGTGTCCGATATTGAAATGATGCAGTTGCGTTCGATGCGTTCCGAGCATAGACAACTAGCTATTGTAATCTAAATCGTTCTTTAGGACCTGTATATTATCGATTCGCTCTATCCACATCTACTCTACAAATCTAATTGGTTTCGAGGTGCTCGCTAAGTCGCTCGGAATACCAATAACCGCCCAACAGGGCAAATGATATTACAACCCATATGGGATTTTTAAACCCGATTAAATATTCACTGTCTAATCTCGACCTTAGGAACGAGAATGCGTCCCTCTAACTCGGCGAACTGCGACGGCACTACTGTCTTGGACGATCAGGAAGCGCGGAATTGAGAATCGCGGTGTCACAGCGTCTACTTGCGACCAGACGTTTTGATCCCCGTCTCTGAGAAGGGCATCGTCCTCATCGATGGCACTACGAAGAGATCGATATCGAAAAATTGAAAGAAGGTGATGTTATGAATCAGACATTGCTATTCCTTGGTACCAACTTCTGGATCATTTACCCACCATTCGGGCAGATGATGGATCTTGTTGTAATCGTGGGCGGCGTTGACTTCTACGTGGAGCGTGTGGACGCCGGAAACGAGGAGGCTGTTTGTGGGTTCGGAAAGTAAGACTTGCATGGTAGTAAACTCGGCAGCATTCGATACTTACTCGCAGAGGGATCCCGCATGTACGTCGGAAACATCTTGAAGACTCAAGAGTCTTCGCGTAGAAGAGATCTGAGGAGACGTCGACTTCTACGGTCGACCTCCTTGAGATTTTCTGCTGAGTTGCTATAGCTTAGCAGTGCTGAGAGCAACCTCAAAGGTTTCACGTCGACACGCTGGCAGCAAATTGGGAAGCAAGAAACATACTGATGTAAGTACTTCCCTTTTCAAGGTTGGGAGATCTGCAAGTAGTAACCACGGCGCCGTTACCAAATAAAATGGAAAACTGGAAAACTTGTTTTCGCTCCCGGCAAACCAGTAAGTGCGGGCAACGGTGGTATTAGACCGAAGACAGTGATTGGGGCCATCTTCAAAGAGGCGCCGGATAACGTGAAGAAAGGACCTGCAAATGAGCAGCGGTACTTCTTCAGAGTCCAGGATACGGGACGTCTCTGTAATAAGTGCTCGTGTGGCATGTTGGCGGAAAGCGTGATAGGCAGGACACGAAACAAAGACATGATGGGTGGATCACATCCACTGATCTCGGGAGGGGTGTGTTGGTCGTAGAACGGCAGCAGCAGTGTCGTGGCAGAGCGAAAATCGGGGCTAGAACACGGAGCGGAAGTGATGGTGTTTAATGGCAGATACTGGACAGCGCCGGGACTGGCAACCCAGGAGGAGACATTGGGTGAACAAAGTATGGCAATGGATCTGATTGCTATAGTTTACTTATTGGGAAAATCTTCCGTGGGCTTATAGCGCAGTGGTAGCGCGCACGCTTTGCATTACGTAAGGTTGTGGCTGTGCGTGAGGTCCGGGGTTCAATCCCCCGTGAGTCCATCCTTTTTTGTTCTTCTAGACCATCTTTTTATACTGTGACCTGTACGGTTTAATATGTAGGCCATAAGCTGCGATATGTAAAGACGTTGTCAGATGTGAGAAGACAGATGGGAGGAAGAAACCGAACGCCATTAATATTCCTCGACGAAATTAAATGCCGGCCTTCAGATCTCCAATATTTCCGAGTCTATTGGTCTAGTAATGTCCCAAAAGATTTTTGGCGATCAGAAGCACAGTGCTTTTGCTATCCACCCAGCGCGCCGCCCAAGTGTTTGAATTTTACTTTTCCTCCCATTTTTCACCGTTCCAAACCACCTCGATACTCCATTTCTCGTTGTCGATCCATTGATCTTTCAAAAATCCATCCCACCATTTCACATGGATCTCATCATCATCGTCAAGCCAATATCCAGCAACTCGTGGATCTGGGCCTAGATATTCATTTCTAGGATGAACAAATCAGTGCGGTTTATATCCTAAGTTATAAACACTTACCGTTTGGAATCGATCCCGTCCGCATGTACAAAGTTTGCGGCTACCCCTCCGCCATCCCAGCTCTCCAAATAGTGAATATGCACCAGTTGATTAATGTCCAAGCCTGGATAAATGATGCGCGTTGTTTCCCCGTCCTTAGCCATGTACGACGCAGGCAAATGTATCCTTGTCCGCTTGCTTGCAACCATCTTTACTAACGGCCATCGGTGAACTTCCCAGGCTTTAGCGCGTCTTTGGTCTGTAAAATTTTGCACCGACTCCTTCTTCTTTGACAGATCAGGAGGAGATTTTGCAACCTCGAGACTTGACATGGAACGTTGAAGTCAGGAACTGAAAAAATATTCGCGATCGATTACACTTCGGACCGCATCATGATGGAAACGAATCATCCATTGTGAAAGATTTCAAAGCGACTTGTACATATACATAACAAGCAATGCCATTCAATAACTTGTGATAGCTAATACTTAAACAAACCATTCTAGTATCAGATAATACAATCTGTTCGGAATAACTGACTAACAAAGAGGTAATTCGTACACTGATACACGTACTAGTAGCTAAACAGTGTCCTGGGAAAACTCAAATTTCATGCAAGCGATAGTGATAGCGATATATAAAATAGCGAAAGAAAAGACTATGCTCCCTCTGCAGACAGACCTTGCTGCTGCGAGAACGAGCCAACAAAAGGCGTAGTAGGGCTGAGTGTAGCCCCGGACCCGCGGGAAGAGTAGGTCAAGGCAGGCGAAACAAGAGGCGGAGATGACTGCTCGACGTCATAGACATCGCGGTCAGGGTCCGGGAACACGCTGTGGGGGTATGTATGTCCGTCGTAATTGTTCTTGAAGTCGTCGCCCGCCTGGATATTATTGCGATGATGGCGAAGCATAGCAGAGTTGCTGGTATTGTTTTTCAGGTCGCCCGTGTAAGAGTCATTGTTGAACAAGCGGTTGCTATTTGGGTGGATGTTATTTTCGCTGCTGATGCTACTGATAGAATTTGCAGATCTGTGCTGTTGGGCGCGCTGCGCAGTCGCACGTAGGATTTCTGAGGATATATTCCTCGATTTTGGGATACTCATGCTGCTGTGTTGATAGTGACGAGAATGATGCTGTTCTGAAGAAGTCGAAGTAGAATGCGGAAGGGTCGAGGACCGGACATGAGCCTGGTGATTAATATGCTGGTTGCGATTTGACACTTGCGAAGAGACGTGAGAGGAGTTCTGAGAGTATGATGAGATATGGGAATGAATCTGGTCAGCGTCACGGTCACCAGGTAGACGAGAACCATTCACGTTGGACGGGTGAGTGTTTCCGTTTCTAGACTGCCCACGAAGAAAGTTCTGCCCTTGCTGCATCGCTGACGACGATTGGAACTCTTCCTGTAGAGCGGGAAGAGAGCCGTTCATCGTGCGGGGAGAGTGATATGCGTCTTGCCGTTGAGCCTGTAACTGAGAGAGTGAGATGGTGGAAGCTGGCGCGCGAACACCCCTGACACCCACGTTGTAGTCGGTGGGCTCTCCTTGACATTGCGCCTGAGCTTGAGACAAGTCCAACCTCGTCGGGCGACGACGCTGGTTCGCTAGATTGCTTCCTGCAGCATGGGCCTGCAGGATGTATTCCTCCGTTGCAGTGAACCCATTCCTTGCTTGAGCAACACCACCACCAATAACAGGATGGTGGTTATCGTATCCCAAGTTGATGTCGACGTCACCAAGGGCGCTGCGGAAACCTGCCATTTGAGGAAGACCGCGATGGTGGGCAAGCCCATCCGTAAACCGATCATCAGTACCGTTGTAATTGCCGTTGCTACGAAGGGTATTGATTAAAGCGGCGAGTTCTTGACTTTGAGCGGCAGAAGAGAGTTGGTCATACGGCGACTGTTGGAGATCACGAGCGCTCATAGGAAGTCTTGAAGAAGCGAGGGTTGGATTGGAAACGATGGGAATGCTATTTCCTCGATAACCAAATCCAGATGGTATGGCGGCATTCGAGGAGAAATCGCGGAAGGGAGGGTTGACAAACGTGGTCTGATCATAGTCGACGTCGATGGGGGAAGGGTGAATGCGACTGCCGCCGACAGTAAGAGGAACCTGCGTCTGTTGAGACCGCAGTTGCTCTCGACCGTGCAGGTTCAAGAGGGCGGCTTGAGCGATAGTTAGCCTCGACGGCGACTGGTCATCCTCTTTCACAGAGCGCTCAGTACGCTAAAATGATACGGATCAGACGGTGCTGGACCCCCCCAAAAAGACTCCTTACACGTAACTCCCGCTGCTCAGATGTATCGGCAAAGCGAACGGAAATCCGGCTACCGGGGTCGTTCCAGCCTCTCACCATACGCCCATGCAGACGCTCGATGACTTCCTCGGCACCAACGCGGGTATCCAGTCTAAAGGACACATTACTGACATGAACAGAAAAGTAAGTCTGAGACCAACCTCACAAAAGCTATGATTCTTGGGGGATTACTGAGTCTTGTCTGGAAGAATCTACTGCTCTTGATCCTGTGAGGAGACACCAAGGCACCAAGAGACTAGAGGACGTCAGTTTATAGATATGTTGGACGGTCCGAGAGACTCACGGATTCATCAATGCTCAATGGTAAGCTGTAGTTTGCATAAGTACGGTCGTGCGTCATCAGAACGGCGTGAAGCAACTCACCCTTCAATGTACAGGTTTGTGCTATTGGGATCGTGAAGTCTTTCCATTTTCGCTTTGAACGAACCGTCGTCGCCGTGATCCACAGATGAGGCTGAATGACTGGAGGAGATGGACGGGGCTTGAGCATAAGTCGTTCCAGGGATCTTGTGAACTTGCTGTTGACAGAGATCGGTCAGTAACGATGAACGAACGAAGAAGAGGGTACCACTAACCTTCGAAAATGTCGGATGCAGATTCCTGAAACGTCTCAAAGACTGGATACATTTTTCTGCAGCGTCAATCGTCTCGAACCTGCCGGGGGGGAAAATGGAAAGAAAAAAAGTCAGAGAATGCATGGAAAGGGGGCATATATGCGCACAAAACAAAACCATATCCACTCTCCTTCTCCCCTACATGTCTCGTGAAACTTCTGACGCTTCTCACAGGGCCAAAAGGTGCAGCAAGCTCGAAGAGTTGGTCCTCGGGATAATTGGGAGGCAGTCCGTTAATATACACGTTTGGGGTCTTGTTGGAATCTTCGTATGGATCACCTCCATCGCTCTTGTCTGAAGGGACAGGTGTCCAGTTGCCATCGGTGGCCGTAGCGCTGTTCATAAACGAAGATGGGGCCGCTTGATGAATTTCGATGTCTGGCAAAGGAATGTAGGTTGCCTTCTTCGATGGAGCACTGGGCACCACTTCCGGAGACGACGGAAGAGCGGATGGAGATGCACGGTTGCCTCGGTGGGGCGACGGCGTCACATCCGTAACCTCGCCCAGCTCAAGATCTACAAAGAACGTGTCAGTAAAACGTGAAAAAGGGATAGAACAACACGTGCCAGAGGTAGGAGCGGTTGTTGAAGGGCTTCCAATACGAAGTGAACGGAGAAGCGTTCCTGCATCCTCTGAAGCAGAAGAACCGATCTCTGCTTCCTCCAATCCATCTCGGTGCTTGTAAGAGTGCGCGATCTGGCTGGGGCTACCAAATGGTGAGTGGTACGAGGAAAGAGACGATTGCGTTGTCGAAGGCGTGATTTCTGATCGCGAAGGATTGCTGGAAAACGAAGCAAATGTTGAGATTGATGGAGCTAATGTGAACGAAACTGAAGTCGATGTCGAGGAAGAGCCTGGCGAGGAATGTACAGATGCAGAAGACGGAGAGTTGGAATGAATCTTGTATCGAGAATCTGGTAGAGAAGATGGTACAAAATCGCCTGCGTTGGGGTTAAGAAAGCCTGTGGACGAAGAGACGACCGATTCTGGAGGAGAAGGAGGTGCCCGCGTTGGTGGAATCGGCGTGGAAACAGAAGAATGTGGGGACTCGGACATGATGGAAAGCGGTTTTATCGATATAATATGGAAAAAGACAGGGAAAAAAAGTCGATAATGTCGGTAGTTGAAAAGAGCTTGGAGCTGGTACCGCAGCCGAAATTGCGTACAAGGTACGTTATAAAGATAATGTTAAAGTAGAGCTAGTTCGAGTAGTCAACGTAAAAGGCAAGGGCGAATAAGCGGGTATGGGTGCGGACGGATGTGAGGGTAGGGAAGAAAGAGGCAAAACGGATCTCCTTCAACGATCCCCCGACTTTATAACCAGTGCGATGGGACAAATAACGTCCTTTTTGAGTAATTTGGGCCATTTTTTGAGGAAATTTCCTGGCCTAGCCTGACTACGACGCGTCGTGCGCTTCATAGGAAGCTTCGATTGCTCGGCATATACCGGCAGCGCGTCTCATCGACCGATGCAGGCTTCGCTTCCGACTCCAAAGGGAACCTGCCAGCGAGTCGGGCCTCCGAGACGTCCGAGGATGTGCGATGATGCATAGCAGATCCACCTGTCACATTGCTGTCGCATTAGCAGTTTTA